TAATATATCACTAGCTAGACAAAATTTATCAACCAATTTTAAAAGATTAAGGGATTTTAGAAAAAAGAAGGGTTCATTTAGTATTATCATAGTAAATCGGGATTTCAGATTTAGCTATACTGCTCTCTCTCCCTCTAAGGGGAAAATTCACTTATCCCTACCTACGGTAACAAAAGGATTAAGCTCTGGTGGGACTCTTTCCGTGTTATCGAGCCCTAGATGACTTGGTATGTTGGAGTATCTACCAAAAATTTTCGTACACATCTGGACGTCGTGGGGAGTACGGCTTTCTGCATGGCCTTATAAAGATGTTCATTTAGACCCAGCTGTTATGTAGTGGATAGAATAATAGGTACTGTCTGGGTACTTTCCATTCTCCATTTTCTTCTGATTTGTATTTCTAGATCTCTGTACTTGGCGATCTTGTAGTTGTCACTTTCAAGCATTCTATCAGGAGCGTATTGATAATAAGGAAGATGGTCGGTTTGGAGAAGTCCCAGTTTGTCAGCTAGTTCTTGGTGGATAATGGTGGTGGTTTTCATAATTATATTATTATTATTAAAAGAGATTACCACCCAGGGTATTTCTTGGCGAAGTCTATTCTTTACACTTTCCTGATACCCAAGTCTTCACAATTTCGTTGTTATCATCTACTAAAGTTGTTGTAGTGATTTTTTTCTTCATATTTGTGACTTCTTTGATCTTTTTGTATGCATTAAAGTAGTCATGCTTTTTTAGTAAATCTCCCAGTTCCTAACACTTGCTGCTCATCCATTTTCTTTGGCTTTCCTTTTTGTTTTGGATGATTCTCTGGGTTTCTTTATATTTTTCTTTATTGCGATTTTTGTAAGATCTCCTTATGTCCATCAGTTCTAGGACTTCTTCTGTCATCCATGTCTATCTATCTATCTAATTAGCCTTCTTCAGTCCATCTTTGGACATAGGCCTCCCCAATCCTTTTCCATTCTTCTCTGTCTGTCGCTACAGTCATCCATCTAGGGCCCACGTGCTTCTTGATATCATCTGCCCATCTCATTTGGGGCCTTCCTCTACTTCGTTTATATTCCCACGGTCTCAAACTTATAAGAATTTTGTTCCATCGGTCTTCTTTTTGTCTTATATCGTGTCCGACAAATCTCCATTTCAATTTCGCAACTTCTTGTCTAACATCTCTCACTTTTGTTTTCTCTCTTATTCACTCGTTTCTCTTCTTATCCATTAGTCTTATGTGCAACATTTGTCTTTCCATTGCTCTTTGAGTTTCTATGATTTTGTCTATGTTTGCTTTTGTAGATGTCCACGTTTGGGAACCATAAGTAAGAACAGGGAGTACGCATTGATTATATACTTTGGTCTTAAGATGCTGTGGATATCTTTTGTTTTTAAGAATGTAGTTTAGTTTGCCAAATGCCGCCCATGCCAGTCTAACTCGTCTCTTGATCTCTGCTGTTTGGTTCTCTTTGTTAAGTTTTATAGTTTCACCAAGATATATATAATCCTTAACTTGTTCTATTTCATCTTGTCCGATTCTCATTGTGATGTCTTCATCTGTATTTGTTATAGTTTTGTTCTTGCTGTAATTCATATTAAGGCCTATCTTTTCAGCTTCTACGTCCAGTTCTTTCATCATTTCAAATAATTCTTCTTTTTTATCGGTTGCAATGCGATGTCATTGGCGTACCTTAGATGGTTCAAGCGTTGTCCACAAATTTTTATACCTTTTTTTTCCCATTCTAATCTTTTAAAAGTATCTTCAAGAGCCTGACTGAAAAGTTTCGGTGATATTGTATCACCCTGTCTCACGCCTCTAGTTATTTGTAATGATTTTGTTCCTTCATATACTTTAATTGTTGTTTTTACTTCCTTATATATTGGTTATTAGTTCCGTATATCTGTGGTCAATTCGGCTGTTAATCAAAGAACTTTTCACTGCCCAATGTTCGACACTGTCGAAAGCCTTTTCGAAATCTATGAACGCCATATATAGAGGAATGTGGTATTCATTTGCTCGTTCTATAAGTATTTTCATACTTAGTAAATGGTCACTTGTGCTGAATCCCTTTCTAAAACCAGCTTGTTCTTTCGACTGGTATCCATCGAATTTTGTCGTCAATCTATTGGTTAAAATTTTTGTTAGGAGTTTATACATTACATTGAGGAGTGTTATAGGACGGTAGTTTTTTATATCTGCTTTATCCCCTTTCTTGTGTAGGATAATGGTTACTGATTCCTTCCAGTTGTTTGGGATTCTTTTTTCTTTTAATATCTTGTTAAAAAGGGAATGTAGCAGTTTATGTAGCGGTTTAGCAGTTTACAAACACCTCACTCAAAAACCCGACGATTAGGTAGGATTTTTTCCACTCAAAACTTTCGTAAATTCTATAATTCATGCTTGACTTCTGACTGGAGTTTTTCTTCTGAAGACATTGACTGTAATGTTAGTGATTTTCTAAATAGACTTGTATCTATTTTTAATAAAGCATTTCCTCTATTAAACATCAGGCCAAAACATAATAAACCTTGGATTACCAAAGGCATTCGCATATCTGCGAAAAATATGCGTTCTCTGCTATATATTAAAAAATTTAATGACAGTATCCCCATCTCTGATTATATCAACAAGTACAGAAAATGCTATATAAAACTACTCAAAGTAGCCAAAAAATCCTACTTTCATAATCGCTTAACAAGCTCCAAAAATATTTCAAAAGAAACTTGGTCAATAATAAACGATTTTCGAAATAAAACCAGTACAGCGGATTAAACCTTTTCTTTTCCTAACCCCGAAAATCTAAATGATTACTTTGTTAATGTGAGTAAAAATATAACCTCAACTATTTCGCCACATCAAGATCCACTTTCCTATCTCTCTAATTCAAAAAACATTGCTGATACCTTCTTTTTAAGACCAGTTGATAAGACGGAACTCATTTCAACAATTCGTAGTATAAAAAGCACATCGTCCTGTAGTACAGATGGATTATCTATTAAAATTTTCTCAAATCTACCGCATAATGTTTTGGACGTCATGGTCTCGCTAGTAAATGATTCCCTTGAAAAAGGTACATTCCCTAACTGCCTAAAGACTGCCATCGTCATTCCTCTTCATAAAGGTGGAGAAAAATCTGATGCCTGCAACTATAGACCTATTGTCTTGTTACCAGCACTATCAAAAATTATTGAAAGACTTATAAAAGTTCGACTTATGCCCTTTCTCCTTAAATATAATATTTTATCGCAAAATCAGTTCGGCTTTTTGTCTAATAAATGCACTAGTGATGCCATATTTTCTGTTTTACATGATGTATATCTATCACTAAACAATAACCTCTCCTCCGCCACAGTTTTCTGCGACTATTCCAAAGCCTTTGACTGCGTAAATCACGACATTCTATTAAAAAAATTAACTTTCTATGGAATTCGGGGTGTGTCTTTGAACTGGTTCAAAACTTACTTGGTAGGTAGGAAACAATTGGTTAGAATAAATGACACCGACTCTAGTTGTAAAGATATTGAGTGTGGAGTACCGCAAGGTTCAGTATTAGGTCCCATTCTTTTTTTACTTTTCATTAATGACATCACTTACTTGAAAATTAAAGGGAAAATTTTTCTATTTGCTGATGATACCAGTATTACATGGAGCAGCTCTGATATTTCAACGCTTCATTCAATTATAACCGATGATTTACTTATAATCAAGGCTTGGTCAGACTCCAACTTACTTAGCTTTAACGTGGATAAGACTGTAGCATTATCTTATAAAGGAGTCATGCAACCCTTGCTTTTGAATGAGAGCCAAATCAATATCGTAAATTCCGTGAAATTTCTAGGTATTCTCATTGACAGTGATCTCAAATGGTCCTTGCATACTGACTCCTTAAGGAAGAAACTAGCCTCAGCTTGCTTTGCAATAAGATCTGTTTCGAAGGAACTAAATTTATCTTCTGCCAAAATGGCATATTTCTCATTGTTCGAGTCCCATCTTCGATATGGGCTTCCATTTTGGGGTTCTAGTACAGCGGCCCAATTTGATACTATTTTTAAGTTGCAAAAAAGAGCAATCCGTTATCTATTTGGTCTCAAACAAACAACTCATTGCAAGACCTACTTCAAAAATCACGGAATTTTGACGCTTCCCTCTTTATTTATTTTGGAAACGGTTTGTTTGATTCGAAAGCATCTAAACATTTTTCCCGATAGACTTGACCATGGCTACTCCATTAGAAATTCGGATTGTAACGTTTATTTGCCGATCCCGTCCACTCAGCTAGTAAAGAATTCTATTCTATATCGTGCAAAGAAACTTTATAATCACCTTCCAAGAGAAATTAAATCCGCAACATCCTTCATTAAGTTTCGTAAGGTGACAAAAATCTATCTCTCAGAAAGACCATATTACTCAGTTGACGAGTTTCTTAATGTATAACAAAGAAACAAAATTAGTATTGTTTATAATTACATTTGGGTGTCTCAAGCAGTGGCTACAATTTGTCTCATTTGTTGTTGTCTGTACAAATTATGTAGGTTATACAATAATTTTACTAATTTAAAATTGTGTTATTCTGTTTTTCACTATATTGTTTTTGTTTTATACTTTTTGTATTATTTGACTGATTTATTTTTTAGCTTTGTCCATAAAATTGTTCAATAATTTTCAGTGACAATAAAGCATATTTCTATTCTATTCTATTCTATTCTAATGTAGAGTATTAATTACCACTTTTCCACCATATTTCAGCATCTCTGCAGCTATTCCATCTTTTTTTCATACAGCTGTCATCCATGTATTCTGTGTTTTTCTAATGTTGTCTTGTAGTTGTTCTCTGTGTATAGTTGTGATTGTTGTTTTGAAGGTATGCCAAATACTTTATATTGTTTCTTCTGCTTCCGCGGGTGCTTCTCTGCACTATCTGCACTACAACCTGAAGATAGTTTCCATTTATAGACAGGTCAGGAGCGGGTGCAAAGGGATCAACTCCGGGTAAATAAAACTCGTTACAGTTTCTCAACATATTTTACTGTTAAGCACCAAATAAAGCACATTTACAAACATTTATAAAAGATGAAGAAAACGTATATTTATATAAAAAGATTCAAAAGTAGTATTTGTAGAATAACATGCCCTACACCCTCTCTCTATAAACTTACAATATATAAAGACAAAAAATTAAAATTCGTACATCAAACAACATCGTTTAAAGCTCTGTGATATATATTTATAACAATTAAGGCCTCTAAACTAAATTAAATAGGTATAATATATAATAAACAATGGTTTTTTTTGTTTTAATAAAAAGATCTTATATAATATATTCTGAAACACGTCGATAACCTGAGTGACATGGACTTTATTAACCGTAACACACAAGCTGTATGAAAACGTACTTTAACTCGCTCGGAGCAGCTTCCTGCAAATTTACAAAAATACGTGTACACTGAGAAAAATTTAAACTAACGAACATCAACTTTGAACATAATCTAACTTATATTTGGTGTGATTAGATCCTCTTCTACGATAATTTGTACTCATTTCGAAACCTTTGAAGGCTCCCGAAGGCAACAGGTTCTTTAATTATGATTAATGCAACCGCGAAAGAAACATAAGTTAGGCTACACTCAAAATAAAAACGAATATAGCGTCTCAGTGTATGTAGGTGACTTTCGACAGCAAACATCAAAAATTGAGTTTATTCTAATGGCAGTATGACGAAAGCTAGTATTTATTTTTTTAGTGTAAAGGCGTACAGTTGTATCTAAGATTACAGTGCTTTTTGGTTTAATTGTGGAATTAGTCGAGAATGGCCAAAAGGACTCTCTTGTAATCTCCAGATGTATCGCCCTGGAAAGAACAGGAATGTCAGTACAATACATGCATAATACCAAAGTATTTCCTTAAGCTTACTAATTATCAACCATAAATCTCTACATTTCTTTCGAAAAAATTTATATTTATTTAATTATTAATCTTAGTTTCTAAAATGTACAATTTTAATTGCTGTGTACTTTTATTACAGAAGGAGAAATACATTATTACATTATGTTAAGTTTTGGATCGACTAAATTTCTACCGTCAATATAGAAAACCTTAAGAACCCCTTTTAACACGACGTCCCTAGGTGAAAAATGTGTGTATAATAACCCAAGTGGGGTATTATTGACCCCATATAAAATTGGTTGGAAAAACTCAACAAACATTTCAAACACGAATTTATTTTTTTAAATATCTTATTTGACTATTTAAGATTTCATAAATAACAGTAGTTTTTACTACTGGATTATATTTGACCATGTATTAGATAAAATTTAAAATTTGCGCTGAAAAAATAAACAACAAAGTAGTTTGTGAGGTACGTACTACCTATGCTGATAGTGACGTACAAGTGAATGTTTTCAAAAACAATGTCACAGATGCATACATGGAACTTCCGTTGAAGTCTATCTATCTATCTATACAGCCCTAAACATCCATCCTTGGATATAGGCCTCCTCCTCCTTCTTCCATGCCTCTCTATCTAGGGCAATTTGCATCCATTTTGACCCGGCGTGTTTCTTCAGGTCATCTGACCATCGCATTTGTGGCCTTCCCTTTTTCGTTTGTGATTTGATGGTCTCCAATGTATAATTGTCTTAGTCCATCTTTCATCTTTCTGCCTTAGGGTGTGTCCGGCGAACTTCCATTTAAGCTTTGCTACTTGGGTTGAGACATCTGCCACTTTTGTTTTATTACGGATCCATTCGTTTCTTTTTCTGTCTGATAGTTTAATGTTCAGCATTTGTCTTTCCATGGATCTTTCTGTCTTTGCTATTTTTTCCATATTTTCCTTTGTAAACGTCCATGTCTGAGAGCCATATGTTAGGACAAGGAGTATACATTGATTGAAGACTCTCGTTTTTAGGTATTGGGGGTATTTTGAATTCTTTAGAATATAAGACAGTTTTCCGAATGATGCCCAGGCCAATCTTATTCTTCTCTTTATTTCTTCGGTCTGATTTTCTTTATTTAATTTAGTGATTTGGCCTAGATATATATACTCTTTTACTTGTTCTATTCTTGTTTGTGCCACTGTAATTATTAGTTCTTCTGGTTGATTAATCATGGTTTTTGTTTTACTGTAATTCATCTTGAGTCCAATTTTTGTCGATTCTCTATCTAGTTCTTCCATCATTCTTTGTAATTCTTCACTTTTTTCTGTTAATAATACAATATCATCAGCATATCGTAAATGATTCAGATTTAGCCCGTTTATGTTAATTCCCAAGCCATCCCAGTGTAGTCGTTTGAAAACATCTTCTAGCGCTTGGTTGAATAGCTTGGACGAGATGGTATCTCCTTGTCTTACTCCTCGGTTTTTTTTTAATAGGCTCCGTTTGTTTCATTAGCTTAATAGTTGTTGTTTCCATGTTGTATATATTTGTAATTAAGTCGCTATATCGGTAGTCTATTCTGCTGTTTTGTAGGGAATTCTGTACTGCCCAGTGTTCCAAACTATCAAATGCCTTCTCTAAGTCAATAAATGCCATGTATAGCGGGATATGATATTCGTTAGTTTTTTCGATTAAAATCTTCATCGTTAAAAGGTGGTCACTTGTACTGAAGCTCTTTCTAAATCCGGCTTGTTCTCTTGCCTGGTATCCATCTAATTTAGTTGTTAATCTATTTGTTAATATTTTGGTTAATAATTTGTACATCACATTTAGTAAAGTTATGGGTCTGTAATTCTTTAGATCCTTTTTATCTCCTTTCTTAAATAGTAACAGTGTTATTGCTTCGTTCCAACCGTTGGGTATTTGTTTTGTCATTAGTATTTTATTCATAAGTATGTACAAAACTTCTCTAGTTGTTTTCCCACCATGTTTTAGCATTTCTACAGTCACCCCGTCTTTTCCTGGCGATTTATTATTCTTCATCTCTTTGAGTGCTCTTCTTATCTCGTTCTTACTGATTTCTGGTTGTAAGTCGGAATTAACATTTTTTATTTTTATTTGTAGTTGCTTAAGGATTTCTTGGGTTGGTTTCTGTTTTGTATTGTAGAGGTTTTTATAATATTCTTGTTATCCGTATGATTTCTTCATACGGATTCAAAATGAGTGAAAAAACTGCTGGGGGCTATCGATATGACAGATGAAGCAAGATTGTTTTATGAGGAATACATTGGTGGAGTTCTTCACAATGACATTCTTGAAGAGTCCGTTGAAGAACATGATGATCCACGTGATGATACAGAGGTAGATCTTTGAGAACAACTACATAATTACATATATAGACATCTTTTATTTTATATTTATTAGAATTTTGTCTACCTAATAGTAAAAGTTATTTTTTGGTAAACTTAAGCTGTTGTTATCGAGTTTTGAAAAAAACTGCATTTTTCTTTTATTTCTTTTGGATTAATACAAAATGTTATTAAGTATGTTTTTGCGTGTATTTATTCTTGCTTATGCGCTTTTGCAACTTTTAATGTTAGTTTTCCATTTTAGCAATAAACGTTCTTCTAAAACAGAAAAAATGCTTTCCTGAAAAAAATAATTTTCGCAGATATCGAGTTTTAAAAAACGGTCCTCAATTGTCTTAGTTACCTTGCGAATTAAAATTGTGTCTTCCAGTACCCAGTTGGGGTCTAATCGGATTGCAGAACACTGTACTCACTTTGACGATCAACTTACAGCTGAAATGGGTTCAGAATACCTAACGACAACACGTTTAAGAAGCTATAGACAACCAATAAAACATCCGTGTATTAACCATAGAATTATGCTAGTTCTAAGTGTGTTGGATGTACCATTAGACCCCTCCTGGGTGACGCAGGTTAAAAAAAAACTTTACCCGCAACTAAAGGTTTTGTTCATACCGAAGCCTACAAACATTATTGTACAGTCGATAAAACTGGTGTAGCTTAGACGCTCAAGAGATGGCAGTCCAACCAATGGAGAGAATGTTTACGGAGAGCCGCAGTAGAGGAACACTTTGTACGAAGGCATGGAATAGATAGGGAGGAAAAGTAGACAAGCATTATATTTTTAGTACTAATAGATAACCTTTTTATCACTCTAATGGTTTAGTTTTGGTTTGCATATCTGGTTTCTCATTTGAATGGAAAGATTACTTCCAGTGAAGAAGTCATAGTTTACCTTCAGGTCAACTGGCCAAAATCTCTTTAATCTTCAAATAATTTGTAGTTATACTACGGGTTACAGACTGTGCCGATCTACGACTGTAACTTTGATCTTTCCGGTAGTTCACACTAGAGAGACTGCTTTGGAAAGTTGTTATCATTAACACAATGGCTAAAAGGAATATCGGTATATAGTGTCATCAATATCTGGCCAATAAACGCGCCAAAGGCCTCAACTAGCAATGTTCCTATTGGCTTGAAAATTACCGACACCCAATGTATAAATATGAGCAGATTTTAAGTCAGGCAAGTAAGTCCTCCACGAACTGTACTAAAGTTTCCTACATTATGGCCTACCCTTATTTCTTCTTCTACTTCCACTCATCTACTTTTCGATCTTATAATATAGAGGCTTGCAGCTGTCACTATCAGCAAATTTACTGGCTCATCATACAATTTGATGTCGTATGCAATATTTGAAAAGTAAATAATTAAATCCATATAACTGGATGTAACCTTTCTCTAATCATCGATGAACTGGTCCTATGTAAAATGTTGTGTAACCTTGTACTTGAATATGATGATCATATTCCTACAGATAAAAAACAGTTACAGAAATGTTTCTGTTGTGACAGAACCTAAAAATACATGAAGAAATTGCCATACAGGAATGTGATTCGCTTAGTAATTTGAGGCAGATATACGTCAACCAACCAAAAATTGAACCAGAGGAGATGATTAAACTCCCAACAAGGAAGCAGCCTTCATCGAAAGTAGAGGATTACTTAGTAAACTTTAATGCATGGTAGTTTTACGACGAAATGATAGATCGTTTTGTGGCTTGCCTAAGAACAGAAGAAGAACGGGATTGTAAAAGTCATAATGAACGAAGCAGAAAGCAGATCAAAATCAAATTCAAATTTATGCAATAATGGATCAAAAAAAAATGAAATTATTGAAAAGATTATAGCAATAAAAATATGATATTGTTGCTCGAGACAGACCTGTACAGCAGAAGTTCCAGAACAACTGCACAACTTTTATGAATGACCAATGGCGATAATACGGAAATCGCTAATTACCTTTCATCTGGATTTTTCGATTGTTTACTTGGAAGTATCTTGAATATTATTCAATAGTTATAATATAAAGACAGGTTATTGTTTTGTTGTTGGGTTCAATTTTCGTTACAATACTCCATTTGTGATATTTATTAATTAGAAATAAATTAAAATAAAAATGGTTGAAATGATAGGTTAGAACCTATAAAAATCAATCTATTATTGAGATTCTCT